TCTCTCTCTCTCTCTCTCTCTCTCTCTCTCTCTCTCTCTCTCTCTCTGCCTTTCCTCAAGCAAGGCCCTCTGCCTGACACTGCCCTGCCAGGATCCCAAACTCTCAACTTTCAAGACCCTAAACTCACCCAAAACCATTGAGTGTGCTTGCACTCTGAGAAGCATAAAGTGCCGTTCACACGCTGATATCCTCCACTCACTGAGCTCAGGCTCTTTGAGTGCTGCACAGCCGTCTGACCCAGCACCTTCGCGGCTGTGGAGAGGGAGAGGGTTATCTGTTATCTGCCACATCTTATAAACGAAGGCACTGTGGCTCAGGGCGATTATTAGGTGATGCGCCTGGGAAGCAGACACAGTGCTCTGGGAGCAGCTTGCGTTCTGTGCTGCTCCAGCTCTTCCCCCACAACCCCCCACCCCAGGGAGGATGAGTGAGCCTGCTGTTCCCCCAGAAGCCCAAACTCAAGAAAGAAATCCCCTACAGGTTTGACCGGATGGCAGCAGGGGGCCCCCTCTTCCTAGACGTTACCTGGCACCCCGCTGGAGACCCTGGCTCGGACAAGGAGACCTCCTCCATGATGATCGCCAGCACAGCAGTCAACTACTGTGGCTTGGAGACCATCCTACATGTGACCTGCTGCCAGCAGCGCCAGGAGGAGATCACAGGCCATCTGCACAGAGCCAAGGAGCTCGGCCTGAAGAACATAATGGCGCTGAGGGGAGGTGTGGCGCCAGCACCCCTCCTGTCGGGGTTCTTGCTTTCCTGAAGGCTTCTCCTGTCCCCAGAAAAGTTCTTATTTCCCCTGGGAAAAGTATACACTGTAAACACATTCGGGGTCCGCTGCTGCAGGAACATCAGTGAGCATTGTGGGTAATGAATGAGTCCACCGTGGGCTTCCACCTCTTGACCTGGCTCCAATTCAGACGGGATGTGGCTGGTGCCTGATAGCCCTCTGCCCCACTACACAGTGCCATCAGACTCTGCTCTGTCTGGTCTGGCCATAGTGTACTGTGCTGGCATTTCCCAGGAGCACCTGGGTGCGTCCTGTCTTCAGGCCACTCAGCAGTGGGAAGTGGGAGCCCGATGGATGGGAGGGATCTGTGGCCTCTCCTCGCCACTAGACTCCATGAGTAGAAAACCCACCAGAGTCCAGGAGCTCTGAGAGAGCAGAGGGATGGGAGAAGGGACGTGAGCACAGCCGGGCGTCAGAGCCAGGCCAGAGCCCCTGACACTCCAGGCTCAGTGGAGAGCCACACCTCCCCTGATCCCACCACCCTCCACCTCCTGTTGGCTAGGTGTCAGGCTAGACTTGCACAGTAGGAAGTCTCTGTTTTTGAGGAGCCCACAGCCAAGTGTAGGGGTAGGTGGAGGGAACGAGAAGACTCTGGAGGTCAGGGGACACCCAGTGACCATGACCTCCAGCAACCCTACAGACCCCGTAGGTGACCACTGGGAAGCAGAGGAAGGCGGCTTCAACTGCGCCACAGACCTGGTGAAGCACATCCGGAGCGAGTTTGGCGATTACTTTGACATCTGTGTGGCAGGTGAGTGGGGACAGAGATGGGACAGGATAAGCCGAAAGCCAGCCAGTATTCCTTTCAGGACGTGGGGATCGGGTAGATACAGATGCGGGAGCACAGAGGTGAACCGGATGGTACCGTTCTTATGCGCATCCTGCCATCCACTGCCAGGCACACCATTCCCACTCCTGACGCTTCCCCTCCTCTGCCTTTCATGCCCCATCTTCTCACTGGTAGAGTGTGTGTGTGTGTGTGTGTGTGTGTGTGTGTGTGTGTGTGTGTGTG